GCGTGACCCCCCACAGATCTTACCCTTGCTCTGCGGTAGCCGGTGCTACCCTGCCACTGGCAGACCCAGCACCAGCTTTGGGGACATACAGGTGACTGCCAGCCCTGGCTGCATCCTGGCTGTCCAGCCCGCATCCTGCTGCCGAGGCTGAGCACCCGAAATCCCGCAGGCTTTTGGCTCACGCTGCCAGTGCTTGCGGGACCTGGCGGCCCCCAGCTCTGCGGGGACGTGTCTCCGGGGCTGCTCCCCATCTCTCCCCTCTTTTCATTCCCCCCATGGAAAATCATGCCCATAGCCGTGCCAGGGTGGGGGGACAGCCAGGTTTGAGGCCATTCCCGGGAGCATGGAGCTTTTCTCCAGCAGCACTTTGCGTGCGGGGAGCGGTTATCTCTGCATCTCCGTTGTTCCCTTCTTAACCCGGGGACAAACTCCATCCTTACCGGCTTTCATGTTCTCTGATTAACAGGTACCTTGTACCTCTAACGACACGGGGCAATCGATCAGCCCAAACACTCTCTCCTTTCCAGAGGGAAGATGGAGTTGAAGGGTGAGAGGAGGAAGAAAGGTTCGTACTGATTTGGGAGCCCTCACAAAATAGGGGCAGAGCCACTTACCAGGTTTAACGTGTCCAGCTCTTGTCGTCTTGAGCTCTCCTCCATCCACAGGTCTAGCCTGGGTCGAGCAGAGGACCAGCATCTTCTCCACCCCACTGCAGAAGGAAACTTCACCAGAGGAAGGTCCCACCAGCTCCAGCACCCCAGAAGCTGCTCAGCCTTGGAGGCTAAGCAGAGATTTGCTCCCCCAAAAGGCAGAAACCAGCCATTATCCCCGCTGTGAGGCGGCTGCTCCTGGGGTTCAAGGCACGGGGGAGCTTGGCTTTGTCCCAGAAGTGGAGCTGCAAGGAGAAAGGTGGTGTTTGGGGGTTTCCTTCTCCATGGGAAGGAGCTTCCAAGGCCTGGCAGTGCAGCGGGGCAAGCGGAACGCTGGGGCAAAGCCCACCACGCTTGGAGGATCAGCTGCCACCAGCTCAGAGGGAGGTGTCCCCAAAACCACTGGCAGAAAGAAAGCATGCATGGCTCAGAAATACAGAGTTTAAGGTGCGATTTGGAGCTTTATTTTAAGCTCTAGGGCATGAAGAGACGATATTTTTGATGTCCAGGGACTGTCACCAGTGTTGGGGACAAGCAGCAAAAGGGAGACACCCAAGAGTTAATCCCCGTGGGGAGATGATTCCCAATGACAGATCTCACGGGAGAATAAACAAACAGCCAAAGGAAAGAAGTTAGAAATACAGGATGTGCTTTTAACGAGGAGGGTCATTAAGTGTTGGAGCAACTCCCCTCTCCCTTCCATCCAGGAGGAAGAGCCACAAGTGATTCCTCTATCCCGTTTTGGGGCTGGGTACAGGCTTTCCTGGCGAGGAGACGCCACCACCCCGAATGCCGGCACCATGCAGGTGTCTCGGCTCGAGGGAGAAGGTGTGTGGCTGCCTGGACCTTTCCCGGCGGGAATGAGGGACCTGGGAGAGTCCCCCCCTTTGGAAGCGGAGCTGGAGCCCAGCTGCCATGGCTGGTCTGCTGACTCATTTTAAAACCAACAATAAAAGCAATTGGCCGTGGGATGATAAAAGCTCCCCTGGCTTATCACTGCCCCGGTTCCAGTAACGAAATCACAGCACTTGCAAGCTACCTGGGGAGTAATTGGCGGGCTTAATTGAGGAAGATCGTTAGGGGACAGACAAAGATAGGGGAGCTGGAGTCCCTTACCTACTGTGAGCAATCGGGGCTTTCGTGACAATGATCGATGGATTTGTTTATCAGGAGGCAACGGGGAAGAGGAGGAGGTGAGGAGCTGAGATCCTGCACGCCCGAAGGGAGCAGGCTGCCCCCGTCCCTTCCTCGCAGAGGATCCCTGACTGGGTGGGGTATCCGGGGGTGCAGCTCCGCTCCAGGGCACAGAGCAGTGCAGAGATGGGGTGCCTTGTTTGATGCTCGGGCCATGCTCGCTGCTCTCCTTCCTGCGTGCTGGGGGCTGCCAAGACACCTGGCAGAGAAAACATCTGGTGAAGGAGCCTGCTCAGCTTTGATGTTCCACCCGTATTGTCCAGGAGCAGGCGGGATGCCTGGGCTTGGGATCGGGGTGGCTGGGGTTGAAGGGACAGTTTGATTGCAGCATCCCCAGCAAGAAAAAGTGGGACCTCACCTGGGGTCACGGGCCAGGATGTCCAAGTAGACGTGTGCATGCAGGGACATCAGACCAAGGTCTCAGGGGGTCCTCCTGCCTGTGCAAGCTGCCCGGAAAGGTCTTCTGCAGCTGCATGGGATGTCTCCATTGGCATCAGGGGGAGGGAGAGGTGCCAAATGAAGATGGGGCTTTATGAAGTAGGGCGTTTGGCCTCCGACACCGTGAAAAGAAGGGCTGCGTGGGGAAGGATAACCACCTGCCCATTTCTCTCCCCTCGAGCCTCTTCCCTTCCCCTTCTCCATCCTGACACTGGGGTGACTTTTTCTCCCAGGTCTCTGGTCTCCAGGCTGTACCCGATGGAGACTGGCAGCAGTGTCCCCAGGGGAGGCAATCAGCCCTCGATAAATGCATCTCGGGGAGACCTTCCGCCAGCAAGGGGCCATTTCACCTCAGTAATGTTAATATTAATCTGCTTATCTGCCCCGGGGCTATAAAACACTCATCTCCAAAGGGGAAAAAAAATTCCCACTGTTCTTTCTTTATACGTGCCCTTGCTTATTGCGGGCCTTATCAGCAAACACAGCCAGCCTTCGGGCAAGAGAGTCACGCAACAGCTCCAGCAAACGCGCCTCTGGTCCGACACCAGCATCAGCATCGCGTGTTCCCACTGCAGCTGGAGTCACCGGGCCAAGTCCATGAGAGCTTCTCCACCCCACAGGGATGGCGTGACACGCTGTCGCTGAGTCCCTGGCGGTCTTGGTGCTCTTCTGAATCACCAGGTTAGGCACTGAGAGACCCAGATCCATGTCCAGGATGATCCCACCTTCCCCTGCAGTAGATGAATGCCAGCTTTGGGATGTCCCTTGTGGAAAGGCGGTTCGTGACTCTGTTGCCTTGACCTATGGCCCTTGTCATAGGTAGGGGAGATGTTATTTGGCTGATGGACCTCATGGGTTGTCCTAAACCATCCTTCCACTTTTCCTCCAAGGCTTCTGATAGCCTGCAACTCAAACCACGGTTTGGACCTCCTGGTCCTCACCCTTGCTTTTCCTGCAATATTGGGATTATGACATTGAGTGGTGAAGACAAAGCTGGTATGACATGGAGTGAGGCTGCTCAGGCTGGTTCGGTGAACTCAGGTGGGTCTGAGGCTGTATCGTCTCAATGTTTCATCACAAATTGGTGACCAGGCAGGACCTGGACATACAGAGTTACTCCTTTTCATTCAGGCTTGTTTAGCAGGTCTGAACACCTCCCTGCTCTAGCTGGAATCTCCCTGAGGTCTTGGGCAATCGGCTTCCCCATTTTCTTCCCCAACACGCTCTTTCGTTTCTCTCTCTTCTTGGAAGTTTTTGTGCAATGCATGATGAGTGATTGGTATCCGGACCTGAAAGGAGCTCTCATTGGTCAGGGTCTGGGGCTATGGCTGAGCAGATGCCACCCATGGGAACAGATTCAAGAGCAGTGCGTGTTGCACCGGATGGTTCTGCTTGTTCCCGTATCATTGCTTGCCAGGTGCTGGGTTGGCTAAGATGTCTTTGCGTGCAAGTTGAAGAAAAGGCGGCATCCAGCTCTGCTGGCATGGGTTGACTGGCAGCCAATGTAAACTCTTGGGTTTGAGTTGGAGAAAGTCCTGTTCTCCTTCTCTGCCCCGTTGTGAAAACACCCTTGCTCTAGCCCAGAATACCAGCAGCTTGACTTTCTCAATAGCAAGGGACTGCCTGTTGGGCTTGGTGGACCTTCTCACCCCAGGTGGACTGCAAAACTCGTGCCAGGTGCACGGCGGGACCGACAGCCATCGCAGTCATGGTAAGACACAAACCTTTCACAGCCATCACTGGCCCAGCATAGAAACACCTGGTGACTACAGTGACGGGGTAAAGATGTCCTTCTTTGTGTCCTTCAGGGCCAGCAGGGACTATGGTGAATGAGGCTTAAGGTGGCCGAAGTCCTCCAACACACTGGTCCCTCCAGGTAGGCTTTCATCCAGCTCAGTTCATTTGAAGGATCCCTCTCATTTTTCTGAAGAAAGTAACCTGAGCAGCAGGAGAAGCCCTGATAGATTCCCAAAGAGGCACTAAAGTGCTTTGAGCTCCTCTATGGACAAAGATAAACCTCTCCTGAACGGGATCTTAGAGTGACATGACAAGTCAGCTAGGCAATTAAAAACATAGCGTAGAAGCAAAGGAACAGGCTGTTCTTACAGGGCTTGGAGAAGTATCAGCGTCTTTCCAAGATTTCCAAGGTTTTTTTCCCTGCAGACACATCTACAGTGAAGGTAAATTTCAATCAGTGAAAATTTGTCCCCTGATTAGTCTGGAAATGGTGATACTGGCTGGACCTCAACAACATCATCCTCATCTCCACCCAAGCTTTGGGCATCACTTCAGCCAAGATCTTCAACATCGACGGGGGCCGTGGGAATATGGCATGGGTTGGCTGTCCTTCAGCTATCGAAGAGCGATTCTAAAAGAATACGATGGTATTCAGACGATCTGGTTTTGGGCACGTTCCCTTTCCCTCTAGCAAAAGACAGTTCACACCCCCCATAAATGTGCTTTGTGGTAATAAGACCAGAGGTGATGGAATATCCAACATCTGATGGAATATCCAACATCTGATGGAATATCCAACGCTAGAAATGCTGGAAATTGAAAAAGGCAAGCAATGCTGCAAAGCGAACAAGGTAAGACAGGAGTTTCAATGGCTTCAGTTTATTATATCATCCCATAAAGTTGTACCAGACCCAGCTTTGCTACAAGGACACCCAGGTCTTTGCCCCCTGGCGATGTCTGGGCAATGGATGAGCCCACCGCTCAGCTGATGCTCTTCACGGGGAAGCGCTGCTTGACCTGGAAGTGCTCACACCTTTTGTGCTTCAGGGACAGTCCATAGAGCGGCGTCATGTCCACTTTCTTGCCATTGCAGACACTGAACTCCAGCTGCTGGAGCAGGGTAGACAGGAAAAGGAAGACCTGCCACCTGGCAATGGGTTCCCCAATGCACTTCCTTTTCCCCAGGCCGAAAACCAGCACCTTCTCCCCATCCACTTTGTTCACTTCGGTCCCTTCGGCATTCAGGAAACGCTCTGGGTTGAAGGTCAGTGGATCCTTCCAAAGTTTCCTGGAAGGGAAAACATCAGATGCTGAGATGGTGTCTCCTGGCTGCGGGTGTACAGGAGGACACTGGAAGGCGGTCGCTCAGAGGGATCAGGGGGAGCTGTCAGTAAGAATATCCCTGAATTTAGTAGATACCTCACCTGCTCCCTTTTCTCTTAAAGCAGGTTGACCCCACGCTTGCCCAGGAAGATAACTGTGCAGGAAGGGGCCTGCATGTCGCTGCAGGAGGCTTTCTGCCTCTGAAGGTACTTACTCGTCATGATTCACTTGCCACTGATTGACAAACACGCAGCGGTCCTTTGGGACGTAGTAGCCGTTCAGCACCGTGTCCCTGGTCGTGCTGGAGAGAGAAACTACTGTGAGAGTTTGGGAAGCAAAAAGGCTCTTCTGCATCCTCAGGGGACTATTAGTTTGCTCCTGCTGCTGCTGAAGTAAGGACGCGGCCCAAAGAGAGGGCTTTATGCGGGGCAGTTGCATTGTCTGTGAGCTGGATTGGGCAACCCCTACCTGAGCTGGGTGGAGTATCTTCAGTGAAGTCAACAGAAGGCAAGGATTGCTCTTTGGGAGCTCCCACATTGCCCTGCGCAAGAGCTGTGAGCTCCCCGTGTCCATGAAGAAGCCATCATTCTACAAGCCGATAATAATCTCCCTGCCTCTCACCGCACCGCTGCCGGCGCGGCTGTAACAAGATGCCCCAAGTCCACCTTGTCCCTCCACCTCTTTTGCAACCCCAGCACTTGCCTGTGCGGGATGGTGAAGGGCAGGAAGGAGGAGTGCCTGAACATCTCCAGGATAAAAGCTTCTGTGTAGGGCAGCGTGCCGCGGTCCGACAGCCTCGGTCTCCTCTCCTGGCCGATGGTCTGGTCTGCGGGAGGTCGAGAGGAGGGAGCGGGCTGGGGTCAGCCCTCGCCAGAGAGGTTTTGGCCCCGGAGGAAGCAGGTTCATGGACTCACCTAGTTCTTCCTGGATCCTCTTCTGGATGTCGGGGTGCGTCACGAGATACATGAGGCTCCAGGATAAGGCAGTTGTCACGGTGTCAAAAGCTGGTCAAAGAGGAAAGCATGTAGATGAGGTCTACAACACGCAGAGCACGTGCCTTGGCTTGCTGCCTAACCATCACATGGAGCAGTCTTGGATGGCTAAGAAGGCAGAGGACATTCTGGGCGCACAGTAAGACTTGGGTTTCTATCCTGTCGGAGAAACCTTTACTAAAATATTCTGCTGTCATTCATCCTGATTCACCCTTGGGTTATGTCAGGTTTGTATAACTTCTCTGGAATCGGGGGAGTTTCCGCAGGGTAACTCAAAGACGAATCAGTCAATAGTCATCTCCCTCAACCAGGAAAAGCCACCCTGGCTTGTGCAGCTTGACTGAGCTATAAGCCGTGCCCTTCACTGTTCCCTGAAGCCTCTTTCCAGAACTAATGTCCCATGCTGGTCTCTAGGGGTGTCCCTGGAAGGACCAGGAAGACCAGCGAGCAGGAGAACGAGTGCTTAGACCCAAACTGGCTGCCCGGTGTTGGACAAAGATGGGTCAGACAGAGCTGTAACATGAGGAGGCTGAGAAAATCTGCAGTTGCTGAGGGACCGGGGGGAAAAGATACCTGCTCCAAAGAGGTCATTCACAAGGTTGACGATCTTCTCCTTAGGGATCTGCGTGGCAGTATTTGCTTCCATTTTTTTCTCCAGGCACTGCTCAATGAGGGAGTCAGTGATGTCTCGGATGTTGTTCTGAGAGGAAGAGAAGACAAGTCATGGCAGCAGAACCAGCAGAGGAATGGGTGTTACTGAGCAACAACCTGATGCTGGGAGAGCCCAGGGTCATACGAGCTCTGGAGAACATCACCTTTCAGCCCCCATGGTCCCTACTGCTTTTGCAACCTATGAAAACGAGGAGATGGTTCTCCAGGGAACCTGAGGCACAGATCGGATGTTCAACCAACAGACTGGCCCTATCGCACAGGGCCGTGGAGGAGAAGGAGGACTGCACATGGAGAGACTACAGGTGAGCGAGACTACAGCTGGACTTGCTAAATGCAGCAATACCTGCAAGAACATAGATGTCCATTGATGCTTGGCTGCAAGAAGAAAAACAACTCGCTCGCAGAGAGGGGCAAAGAGCGGGGACGCATCTCTGGTGCAGGTGAGGGTCCTGCAAGCTCTTACCTTGTCATAGGTCTTGTAGTGCTCTTTGACAATCTTCTGCAGGAAATGGAGGAATCGCTTGTTGAAATCTTTAAATAAACTCATGGTGCGGCTGGGAAGATACTGGAGCACGGGGATGAAGTCAGCGGGGTTGCCAGCAGCAACCACGTCCCCAAACTGGTCACTTACGTTCACTATATTGAGCAGCTCTTGGTCGTTGTGGTCGTAACGCTTGCCAAAGCACATGGCACAGATGACGTTGGCCACAGAGACCACCAGGTACCGGTAAGGGTCAAAGCTCTTCTCCTCATCCATCAGCTGCAGGAACTTGGTGACCAGGTAGTCGGCCTCCTTGGAGACGTGTTCCTCCAGGAGGCAGGTGGAAGAGGAGGTGGGGCTGGGGGCGATGGAGAAGGTCTTCAGGGCGTTCTGGGCCAGCTTTCTGCGGGCTTTCCACACCTCCCCTGAGTCGGGGCTGAAGGCCAGGCTCTGGCCATCCGCAACATGGCGGAAGCTGTGGAGGTCAGGGCGCCCCATGAAGTCTTCTCCTTGCTTCACCAATGCTTGCCTGATGGTGTCCAGCCCGCTCAGCACCAGGACGGGCCGGGTGCCGATCCTGATCTCCATCACGTCCCCATACTTCTGGCTCAGCCTGGTCAGGACCAGGTGCGTGTCCTTCCTCAGCTCCAGCACGTTGCCGAGGATGGGGTAGCCTCTGGGTCCTGGGGGGTTCTTCAGCCCCTTGGGCACGTGCTGCCGGAGGGACTGGATGAGCAGGAAGACCAGGCAGAAGATGGCGGGCCCCAGGGGGGCCCCGGGGGGCGGGACCACGCCCTTGGCTTCCCACCAGCGATATCGCAGCCTTCATCGCTGCTGGCATGTAGGAACCCTAAGGGAGTTAACCAGAACCGTGGCGAAGAGCCAGGATTAGCGAGAGGTTGAGTCCCGCAGATGTTCCTGACGGTGAGAAAGGGCACCAAGTGCCCTTAAAGAGTTCAGGGTGATGGAGCTGCCTGTGCAGCACTTTGGGGCTTTCAAGGGACAAAAGTTGGAGACCTATAAAGACTCCAAACACACCCATCGCTTAAGGGGGACCTTGCCCCCCCTGAAACCTCTGAGGGCACCCTTTCCCCTGCAGAATAGCCCAGCACCCGTTGGCACAGCCATGGCTCCTGCTCAGGGAAGACGGTCTGTTTGCAACGAGGCACAGAAAACTGCAGCTCAAAAAAGTGCCGGGAGGCAGGAGGAGAGGAACAGCAACTCCTCAATGAAGCTGGCCCCATGTCCACCAAAGCTGTGAGGATTTATAGCCGGGAGGCTGGATCTGCTGGGTGGCCACCAGTGCGTGGAGGCACGGGGAGCGGGAATGCCACGGGGCTGCCCTGCAGGAACGCACGGCTCACTGGGTGGGCAGGGGAAGGAGGGGAGAGGCTGGTGCATGAATTTCTCCTTCAGACCCAAATATGACCTTCCCGGTCCTATATCCATGTTCAAACACACACACGTTGTCTCCTACCTGCAGGTCCTTGCGATGGACAGGGCTGGTTTTACTGCCCGTGGCTCCCAGCAAAGATAGGCAGAGGGTGTCTGGCAGCTGCCTGCCCTGGGGAGCAGAGGGGATCCTCTTCTGCTGCCTGGACCTTCTTCTCCTGCTGCCGGGAAGGCCACGGCTTTGTATGTGCTCCCGTCGTCACACGGCCAGGTGCTTATCTCCGGGGGGTCACGGCACGAAAGCCCTGGGGAATAGCTACCCATTAACAAATGGGGCCGAGCTTGGCTGGAGGCAGCCCAAGAAGCCGGGGAAGATATTTCCTCAGCTCCAACAGGCTCTGTGGGATGAATGGCGACTTGTCCTCCTGCCCAGGGCACGTGCCTGCCCTAGAGCCTGGGACGGGGAGGCAGAAGGGGGTCCCCAGGACAAGGAGGCAGAAGGGGGTCCCTAAGCCCTGCCCTGGGGAGGATGGAGGACACGCTCTCGGCATCGCTGCCCCGTGGGATGTGGGTGCCAGCATTTCCCCCAAAGACCTTTCCTGGGCTGACCAGACTGTTCCCGGCACACAGAGAGGGCTGTCACCTCCGTGGCCACTCCGGTGGTGCTGGGAGCTGCAGGCTCCGGCTGCTTCCAGCAGCAAGGGGATGTGTTTGCAGCAAGGCATCCGTGGCCACAGCCCTCTCCATCCCTGGGGAATCAGCCGGCAGGTCCCCGTGCCCCAGGACTGGTGGTGGCAGGACCTTCTGGCCCAGCGGCAGAGCCAGGCTCAGGTTAACGATTGCCCAGGTTCGCGTGAGAAGGCGGCTGGCTTGCTTCCCCCGGCTCCTCCGCGGCAAACAGGCAGCGAGGGAGAGGAGTGGCGGGGCAGAGGGGAGGAGGTGAGCCGGAGAGATAGGAGAGGTGAAAGGGGCAGCGCGGGGCAAGGCTGGGGCAGTTCATCCCTCCGAAAACACAGCATGCCAGCCGGCAGGAGATGCGGGAGCGAGTGGGGCTGCTGCTCGAGCTGGGGCAAAATTCAGGGCTTTGGGAAGTGCAGGCAGGATGAGCTGGGAACATTAATTAGCCATAAGGAATGAGCCAGAGCTTTGGGGTTTGGCCCTAAGTTTCATTCAATCTTTGAAAACTAGAGTGGGAATTTGGCCCAGGTAAAAGCTGAGCTAATATTTAATAAAGGCTTTCAACATCTGGTCTAATCAGGTTCATTAATAGCAATGACATCGTTCATTAACGCTTGGCAAGAACACTTACAAAACCCCGGCTGCTAATGCTCATTCTGATAATTGCCAGGCACCTCGCAGACCTGCCAGCCCTGGCTTCGCCAGGCGATGCCTCCCAGCGAGGAAGATGTTTGGGAGCGCTTTTGGGGAGGCAGGCTGGGGTTTCACAGGAGCAGGGCAATGCCGGGCTTGTCTTGCGGGTTGGGTCCGGGGGTCGTCTCCCATCCCTGTGGATCTACCCGGCTCCACTGCATGGGGGTGGGCAGACTGACGCCCCCCAGGCAGTATTTCAGACCTCGGTGGCCTTGCACTGATGGAGAACCCGCACCCGCCTCTCCTGATCCATCACATCCCAAAGCGTTGCAGCAGCTGGGGAGGGTCCTGGGGCCGCATCAGGAACCCCAGAGGGGTTCCCCAGGACCCACCTGCCCCTCTTCCATCCCCCCATCCCCGTCCCTGCCCCCCCCAGCCGCCTCAGTGCTCGCTGCCAAGCCCTGCGAGGGCTGGGTGCCTCCTGATGAGAACAGCGTTAAGAGCTGCTGCCTTGCGTGCCAGGCAGCCTCACGCCCCAAACACATCCTCACCCAGCACCGGGCTCCCACCCCAGCCACCGCCCCTCACTGAGCCCTCTGCTCCCTGGAGCTGGCCGGGGGGGGCGGGGGGCAGCCAGAGGGCCACCGCCGGTCCCCTGCCCTTGGCAGGGCTCGCACACGCCTGCGAGCACACGTGGATGCACCTTGCTTCCCTCTGTGGGTCACCGCTCCGGGAAGGATCCCGGCTGCGTGCCTGTGGGTTTGTTAGTGTGTATGGTCGTGCCAGCCTGTGCGTGCAAGGATATACGCGAGCAAGAGGACGATGGTGCCTGCAGGCGTGTGCACGTGTGGCAGAGCATGTGTGTACGCGAACACGTGCAAATACACACACGCAAGAGCATAAATGTGCTGTGCATTTGTAGGCGAGTGAGCTATTGATGCATATGTAAGAAACGTATAGCGTGTTTGTGGGCATCGGAGCAGGCGTGTGCTAAAATGTGCATGTGTGCGCTGCAGGAGAGCACGGACGCGTGTCACCTCGGTATGGGCAACCCGGGTGTGTAGTCTGCATGTGCAGCAAGACGCCCATACAGGTGTACGTGTAGAGGTACATAGAGGTACACATATATTCACCCATATAGATGGGTGAATGCACACACACCAGCCTCGCACGTGACGGGGGGGACGTGGGGTCGCTGGGAGCTGTGGGCGTGGGTGCCCGCGCGTGTTTTACGAGGTGCCACGGTGTGTGCGAGCGTGCGTGGAGACATCTCCGCCTGGGGTTATGGACACGTCGACGTGTCCTGCGTGGTCCGCGTGTCCGGAGCGGTCCCCCTCACAAGCCGCGGGGAAAGGCAGCACGGGGGGCATTTACACAGCGTGTCCCCTGGGGACGGACGGCCCTGCCTGGGACAGTCGGAGCAGCCAGGGGCACCAGTCAGTGTCCCCTGGACCCCAAAGGGGACATTTGCGGTGGCATGACTGAGACCGCCCCTTTGCACCGGTTTCCCCACCGTGGGAAACCACCCTCTTCCCCCTTCCCCGTGGTGGGAGAGGGCTGGGACACCTGGATCCTGTCAAGGGGGACACGCGTGGCAGGGGGGGCTGCTGTCCCCTTGCAGGTGATGGCAGCATCCCGTGGCAGAGGGGACCAAGTCGATGGTGTACCCGGTGCTGGGGAGCCCCACCCCAGCCCAGCCAGCCGGGGGGGGGTGATGCTGAGC